ACAATGTATAATCAGTGGTTAGTTCAGGAAAATAGTTTAAAAATTTCTCTCAGATTTTCCACAGGTAAGTGAAACATTTTTATGAGAAATGGGGTTAAAGGTAATTTTAAAATAATTATTTGTTTACTTGGAGTGCTATATTTAAATACTTTTTTATTTTTTCCAATACATGTGATAAGTTAGAATTTTAAATTATACATATTCTCACTTTTTATAAGGCCCTTGATACATGAAGTTCAATAAAACATATTTCCTAAAACATACAATTTCTATACATTATAAATATTATATTACCCAAAACTCAAGCTATCATTGTGCATTTTGGATCATGAAATGAGATTTCATAAATGGAATGAAATTCTTTCTCCCTTCCACCCCCTCTCTTTCTCTCTTTCTCTGTTCTTTATGTGTCTATATATATATATTCATATATTACATATATATGTATGTCTATGTATATATATTCATATATTTCATATTTATATATAAATATATGTATATACACATATACATATATACACAAAAATATGCATGTGTACATTTATAATAATGTATAAATTATTTCATACACTAGAAAGATGGATAGATAGGCAGGTAAACGTATAAAATCTAGGATGTGCACTCACATTACCCATTAAGATTGGTGAGCTCTTGTGGTTGGGCTTCTCCTTCTACTTTCTATATTTCTGTATTGTTTAATTTATTTTTAACTATAAACTTATGTTTGTAGTATTATTTTATTTAGATGGTAAGCACTTCTCCATATATTTTATCCTAATTCAGAAAGTAAAACCTAAGTAAAAATAAAGTTAAGGGGGGAAAAAGAAAAAACAACTTTTCTAGCATGGCAATTTGATGAATTGGTCACATTACCAGCTCTCTGAGTTATTGTTAGAAACAAAATTGTGGAAACACTATGATTTTGCATTCACTTTTGACTAGCCGTTCCTGTTGTTCAGATTACTTGAACAGTTCAACCGTACATATTTAATCACTGCACAGAAACTTAATTCTAGGGAGTGATAAACAATCAGGATAATAGAAAATAGAAAAAGCGACTTGTCCCCAAATAAACACAATATATTATTAGATGTCAAATGAAATTATAATGTATTTTTATAGGACATAGAACTAAACTCTGATGGATGTTATTTGCATGATTGTACAATATCCCAGACTCTTTTAAACGTGTATGGTATGCATTTAAGTGTAAACTTTATATCATAGCTTATTTCTAGGAATATTTCAAGCCAGCCCTGACCTCACGTCCACAAGAGAACATGCTGATATTTTGGAAGCATTTAACCCATTCATAGAAGAATAACTCTGATTTCATAGCGCAGGAGATCTGGCATGCAGAGCATGTTAGCATTTTCCCGGCTGACCACTGACCACCCACCATTTGTAAAATGAGAGTTGGTCCACATGAACAGCTTTCCTTCATGTTTTTATTAATATTTTGGGACTGTCTGAAAATGTGAACCATATTCGTTATTTGTCACATTTTCTTATTGCCCCCAAAATAAGGCAGAAAAGCATCAACATTTGCATAAATCTTATTCTGTACATGGAACTGAATGTAGATTTCTATTTAAGAGAAAACATAGGAGTTAATCCTTTCCTCTATGTAAATTCAGGGAACATCTACTTCCTGAGAGATGAATGGAAAATATTTTATGTCAATTAATATATATTGAAGGTGTATAAAACAATGATGTGTCTATTACTCAGCTGTCACTGATATAAAATTCACTGCAAAATTACTTTCTAGAGTTCAAAATTTACCCCCTTCTGCTTTTTGTTTATTTACTTTTCAAGACAAAAAATAATTTTTCCCAACTGCTGTATTATAAATGCAACCTGGGATCTGAAAACCAGTTTCTATTTTTTTCTCCTTTATCTCTTATCACAGATGATAATATATTGTCATTGGAATTCAGCTGTGACGGTGTAGATGATTAAGCTAAAGTCTAATTGGCTTTGCAGTGTTAGCAGAAGCCAAAATGTAATGGTTGCTTTTCCACCCATATTAAAATAAACCTCTGTGATTCACAGTCTGAGAGAACAGAATTCTGTTGATTAAGAAAGTTTTTTATGGGCAGTAAAGAACCAATTATAAGAATTAAAACTTAAAGTTCAAAGTTACATTTTTCTTTTTGAACTGTTTATAATGTAATATTGTCCAAACTATCATTTAAAAGCAGAAACATTTGAGGTAACAGGATAAATATTTTTGAAGCATGTGAAAGCCACTGTTGGTTTGAAAGGAGAACTTTCATTTAATTTTAGGTAATTGTTGAAATCACGGTTATTCACAAGAGTTCATTTTATAGAATTAGGTAAGAGCAAAAGCTTAGAATGGCAGGCAGTGCCAAAAAATGTGGACATGGCTATTGTAGCTCTGCACCTCTGCTGTCCCCACAGAGGTGGGGGCAGCACAGGTGCAGATTTATTTGGTGGCATGCTCTACTTGCAAGGCGAACCGAAGTATTCCCAGTGGTGATTGAAGTAAACAAGTGCCAGAGAACTAGGACATGAAATGAGAAAATATTTCTCTGACAGACTTTAAACTTGCTATTATTTTTCTCCAGCGTGTCCTTGTGGAGTTTCTTAGCCAGACCTTGCCCCAAACCTTGAGGCTGGCTTTGTCCAGGCTTGTAATTCTAAAGTACTTAGAGCTATCCAGTTTGGAGCCAGGCACAGAAAGACAAACAGCTCATGGTCTCACTCGGTCTCGTGGAGAGTAGAATAGTGGTTCGCAGAGATCGGGAAAAGTAGGTGGAACTGGAATGAAGAAGAATTGGTCGAGCAGTACAAAGTTACATTTAGATCGGATGAATAAGTTCTAGTGTTTCATTGCACAGCAGGGTGACTCTAGTTAGTAATAATATATCTCATATTTCAAAATAGCTGAGTGAGAGGATTTTGAATGTTCTTACCACAAAGAAATGATAAAGCTCTGAAGTGATGGATACGCTAATTATCCAAATTTGATTACTACACATTGTATACATGTATGAAAACATGACAGTGTACCCCATAAATATGTACAATTATGTCAATTAAAATTTAAAAAAATAAAAGCTAACAGAAATGGATCTTTAAAAATATTTTTAATGATAAAGGTCTAATAATGGTAACTAAGCTTCTATTTGTACTCGATATTTTATCTGAATGATTATAATTCATCTTTGAGCCATCCCATGTATTGGGAACCCATTGACCAATGGTGCTTAAAAAATAATGTCATGTCATTTTTCATTTCTGGTGTGAATAAGCAGCAGTTATGACACTAATCCACACAATCGCCTATTTCTGAGAATGGTGACAAAATTATCTATACTTCTAAAAATGTTTATATACAATGTCATCTCATTTTTCATTTCTGGTGTGAATAAGCAGCAGTTATGACACTAATCCTCACAATCGCCTATTTCTGAGAATGGTGACAAAATTATCTATACTTCTAAAAATGTTTATATACTTTTATTATTTTAATATAATCTCCTCAATTCAAATTAGAACTGCTGGAGTCATAATATAGGCTAGATATTTGTTCTTCTAACTCACATATGGGTAGTTGTTCATGCAGTCAAAAACATTGGACCCAATTTTCCATTCCAAATGCAGGGAGCTAATATGGAATTTGAGACAGACATGATGCCTAAGAGCAAATGTTAAGAAGTTTCCTAAAGTTCAACTGGTTATAAACTCTGAATACTACAACAAAGTTTACTAAAAATGTAGTGAAATAAGAAACCATTAGGAAAAAATGAGTATAGAATCAGACACCGCATTCCGACACCGCCTTCACTCTTATGTCAAAAAAGCACAAATTTTTGAGTAATGAATACTTAAAAATTGTAAACAGTTATCCTACTAACGAAGAAAATTTAAAATCTCATAATTTCTTAGAGTTATCCTAATTTCTTATATAGTTTTACTCTTCTTGACTAAACTCCAAATTCCCAAGTTAAAATTTCAAGCACATAGCATGTCACTTCTCCCCCAGGGTGACAGAGATGCAAAGGATTATTCAAAGCCCATTTCTCCTGAGCAATGAGAGGCCCGAAGGGGTTAAATCCCAGGAACAATTTCTTCAAGAGAGAAGAATTCCTAGGAAATAACCCAAACTAGGTTTTCTCTTGGTTTTTATTGTCCAGGCAAAAAGTTACAGAAAAGAACAAAGGTGGTTAATAAGTCATAGTCAAAACATAAACAAACCGGCTACATGACAATTTTCATTAAAGCAGGTGCAACTTAAAAATAGTTTAAGCAATTTACTATCAAAGGAGTCATAAAACTAAGCTATGTGACATACAAAAGAACCAATGAGATAATCATTATGGCAACACTTAGTTCCTAGAAAAGTTAGAGAAACAGTTGAAAGTGAAATGTGGAACCAACCACTAATTGGCAGAGTAGCCTTGAAGATTTTAACTCACATATTTTTCCCATCATTAGGTTTAGCTACACCAAGGGCATCTGCCCTTAGAGCAAGCACTTTCTGCTGTGTTAAAAATTTTTTATCTACAACAAATACTTCAGTCCTGGGAAACTTTTCTGTTTTCCCAAGCTTAGCATTTCTATGCGCAATTCTAAAAAGTTAGGTTACACCCTAAAACTACAGGGTTGTGGCCCCATTAAACTATAAGTTAGGCCCTGTAAAATACATTTGCTTTATTAATGTTAGTACCCTCCACACATTAACACATTGATTGTGTTTATCTAATTACTATTATAATTGAAGTAAAATTTTATATTGATAGAGGCTTCTAAGATTCTTCTTCACCAATAATGCCTCTAAAATCCCCCTCGTGACACACCATCAATCATAAAAAGGAGTAGAACAATAGAACGAGAACCCAGAACTCTAGATTCTCAGGAAAAACACTTTAATGCTCATATTCGATGCAGACACCCATTGTCAGTGGATGCACTTCCCAATGGATGGCAACATACAATGACTGAACTAAAATGTGATTCCTTTCTTCTTTTAGGGGCTGATGTTATCAACTTCGATGGCCATGTTGTGTTACCATATAGATTCAGAAACAAGAAGATGAAAACACTGAAAGATGTCATTGCATTGAAGTTCAAAACCTCTGAAAGTGAAGGTGTCATCTTGCATGGAGAAGGACAGCAAGGAGATTATATTACTTTGGAACTTAAAAAGGCCAAGCTGGTCCTCAGTTTAAACCTAGGTGTGTTCTGACTTTTGGCACCATTCTTTCCACGTATAAATATAGCCGTTAAGGAGATGTTAATGTTGCTTAATCCCTTAAAATGTCAATTATAAAAAGAGTTTACATTATATTGTCAATTCTTGCTTCATCCATAGTGATTGGCATATATTGATATACCTATTCATTTAAAAATTGTTTTGTACACACCTGTACTATGCAAGTTCTGAGATACAGTGGTGAGCAAATGAACAAAGGCCTAAGCTCATGAGGTTTACGACATAGTGCAAGAGTTAGGCAATGCATTCTCTATTATTATCACTATTTGCATTAAAACAATGAAATAAAAAGAAAGACTTTGAAGAATGATAAGACTGATGAAATCAGTTCAATAAATTAATATGATAAAGAATGATTTTAGAGGCGAAAGAATCATTAGACTGTATAGTGAGGAAAGTCTCGGAGGAGAAAATATGCAAGTTGAGATCTGAGTTATGACAAGAAAGTAGCTATAACAAGAAAAGAAGAAGAAGAGGGTTTCATAGGAAGGGGTTAATGGAGCTGGCATGCTCAAGGAATAGGAGGAGCCTAGTGTGGATAAATGTAGGGAGAAAAGATGAAATCCAGGAGTTGGGAATTGTCCATATCCTGTAGGATCCTGCAGGGCATGTAGGGATTTAGATATTATTTTAAGAATAGGAAGTTATCGGAAGGCTTTCAACTGTATGGCATTATGATGTGGCCGTTCAGTCTTATTTTAACAGTTCAGAGACTTTAAGAATTGCTTGTGTCACAATAATAGTCAGAGCAATATTTTGCATAGTTTGGGTGAGAGGTCATACTGGCTCGCACAAGGTGGTTATCAATGGAAATGCGAGAAATGAGTCTATCGGGGAACTCATTTTAGTTGTAAATTCAGATTGACTTTTGGTGGATTGGACATGGCATAAGAAGAACATCGTAGAAATAAAGAATGATTCCTAGGACTTGGACTTGAGTTCCAAATAGACATTAGCACCATTTTCAGAAACAGAGAAGACTTTAGGAGGAAATCCAAAGATCTATTTGGACAGTGTGCACTTAAGTTGTCTACTACACGTGTGATAAAGCTTTCTGATATGGAGTCGTGTATGTGAGAAAGTTGCGTATATGAGAAAGCTTTCTGTTACAGAGTTGTGTATATGAGATGAGAAAATACTATAATGGAGACTACTGAGGACAGGACAGTGAGTGGAAGGAAATACAGAGTATGTAGTGTCACAGAGACCAAGGGAAGAAAAGAGGTGGTCAACTGTGTTGAATTCATCTAAAATGTCACTTAAGATGAGGATAGACAAGTAAACATGGAAAGAAGGAAACATGAAGATCACTGTCGATTTACTCTCAGTGGAATAGAAAGAACAGAGCTTTACTGAATTTTTTTATGGTTTGAGAAAAGATGAGAGATATGGAAATAAATATTTTGAATATAGTCAACTAGAAGTGAAGGAAGCAGAGAAATGAAACAGCTGGAGAAAGAGGTGAACTCAAAGGAGTTATTGTTTTGTTCTGGGCTGTTGTTGTTTTTAAGTGGACAATACTAATGCATGTTTGTGTGTTGATAATGTAGCTAGAATTTACTTAAACCTAAAGAGAAGATCAGCAACACAGGTACTGGCATTTAAAATTACAATTCATGCAAAGGAATAATTACTCTTTCTCTTGCTTGACTAAAAGTTCTAAGGTCTATTTGAGGATTGTTTGAAGGATATCATACATTACATAAATTTTTCTGTTGTAGTGACAGAAGAATGCTACAAAAATGTTATACTCTAAAATATGTAACTAAAATTCACATGTTAAATGCATATCAATAGAAAGCTAGAAAACTAAAGATTAGAACACCAAAGTGAGACCCTGCCTCTTTGACTTCCTTACCAATTATCAATTTGAGTAGTCCGAACATTCCTAAATACAGCTTGTATTGCAAATATTAACTTTTATTACCTTGAAAATCAGTATCATATTAAAAAAATACAAATTCAATTAGTTTTTGTTTATAATAATATGTTATTTTAAAAAATTCCCTTTATTATAAAACTTTTCACATTCAAAATTGGATCTGATAAAAATAATAGCTTCTATAAGAAAAAGCAAAGGAAAAAAATCACATAAAAATCTAAATCACTTAATTACATGCAAACATTAAATTTTTACTTTCAAATAATCATAACGTTAAAATGCATGCAAAACCTATCAAGTATAGAGGCATTCATGAATAAGAAATTATAACTCTGTAATAGTACGAAGACATTAAGTGAAAATATAGGCACAGGTTGTAAAAGACAACCCAAAAAATAAATAAATATTCTATGAACATCAAATTAGCTCAACCACACTAGCTATAAAGGAAAGGTACAATAAAATAACAAGATATTAATTTTTGTCAAGAAAGTAAATACATTTTAAAACGGTAATATCAGTGTTGGCAAACGTGTGACAAAAAGGATCCTTTGTACTGTCTGTAACTCAGAAAAGATTTTTAGAAAAACAGTTTGACAATATGTCTTTAGACAGTTAAAATCACATATAGACTGGTATTTTGGTCCAACAATCATAAGAAAAAAATAAGAAATGACCCCAGAGGATTTAAATCCAAAGATGTACTTTGTAATACTAATTACAATGTAAAAAATTGAAAAATAACTTAAACATGTGGAAATATGCTGATAGCACTGAAAATATCTGTGGTAACTTTTAATTATATGGGAGAACACTATGTGATATTAAATAAAAACTGTAGAATATAAAATCAAAGTAATATATCAATATTTTCATATTAAATATATACACATAAGTATATATATAACATATATATAAATATAAATAGAAGTATAATATACTTATAAATATATAAATATAAGTGTACTTATAAGTATTTATATATTAATATATAAATATAAATATGCTTATAAATATAAGTATGTATAACATTTATATTATATGTCATATATATACAACATTTATATATGTATAATTAAATGTATGTATTTAGAAAAACATTTGGTAGGAAATAGACCAAACTATTTTTAGTGGTGGAAATAATTTTACATTATAGTACTTGTTAGTTTTTTATAATATTGTCTACTTGTAATAATGAATAGTTTATTGTGCCACCTGGAGAAAATAGTCTGAAATTATTCTTAAAACAAGACCCAATAGAGGAGCAGTGGGAGGAGAGGAACCAGAAACAAAACATAAGTACTTTTGTAAAATATGCACACGCACATGCATGTTCTCACACACACACACGCACACACACACACAGAGTATTTGGATTATATCTATAGATGTTAATTGTGTCAAACCTTTCTCTTTTTCTTCCAAATGAAACATGTACAGTAATCTTTTAAACTCACCTGTGGTTTATAGAAGGGGTGACATTATCATTCTGAAACAAGTAACTGATTTTGTGACCTCACAAAAAAAAGTTCATTACCTTTTCAATGGAAAGCAATTTACTTACAGAATTTTATAGACTGACTAGAATTTATGACACTCGAATATACACTGTCACTCTTTAAGGCCATTCCCTAAATATCAAGCATATCTGTCTGGATCTCAGTCTTCTAGGTATAAACATTTAAAGTAATAAAAACTCAGTGCAGTCTTTTCTCTTAGATTTATTCCTATTTTTCATTCTTTCCCTCTTCCTCTCCTTCCCCCTCTCATTTCACACACACACACACACACACACACACACAATCACCATCACGTAACAACATTTGAATTCATCACTATAAGCGAAGAAAACATGATCTAGGAAAACCACAGAAAATGTAAGGTATAGGGATCATTAGCATGTGAAATGTCAAGGAAGAAAAAGAAAAAAGAAAGAACTTAATGTTATAGTCAATTGTGTTTCTCTTACTACCATTATGCTATTTATTTTGAAACAACATTATATATATATTTTTTCCTTTTTGTCTTTTTTACTGACCGGTAACAGGATCACAACCCTCGGTGTTGTGCCCACACCGCGCTCAGCCAGTGAGCGGGAACCGGTCTCCACATGGGATCCGAACCCTCGGCGGGAGCGCCGCCACACTCCCAAGCGGCGTACTCTCCAGTGCGCCACCGGGCCGGCCCAAACAACATTATATTTTTATGGCATTTGATTTTCCCTGGCTGTAGAAAGCAATACTTGATTAGACAAAATAGAAGAAGGGTATAAAACACGTAAACAGCATCCAGAGATAAACTTAGTAAACATTCTGGATTCTCACATCCATTCATTCTTATTTACAGTTTTGTTGCTATGGAGATCTTATTTCAAAACTATGTTAATGCTGCGTATACATCTGAATGTTTTTATTTTAATTTATAGGATAGCTTGAGCAAATTGTCTATGTTGTTAAATATTACATAGTTCGTACTTTACAGTGATGGCTTTTGGAGTGAGCAAAAGTGAAAATTGCCATGATATGTTGTCTTGATTAATAATAACAATAATAAAAGACTAACAGGTAGTGGTTGTGCTCACTACATGCCTGAACGTGTGTTAAATTATTTGCACATACTAATTCGTTTAATTTTCAAGCAACCTTGTAAAGCAGGCACCATTATCTTCCGCATTTTACAGGTGAGGAAACACAGAACCTGTGTAGTCATCACACTAACGGTGGCACCTGCAGCAGAGCTCAGGCACTTGGACTTCAAAGTCCATGTGACACCGACTTTATAAGGAACCTACCAAATTTTAGTAGAATTCATGGCACAGTGATGAAAAAAAGAAAAAAAAAATGCTCCTTTTTTTTTTCTTCTTAAGGAAGCAGACTGTTTTTCCATCTTGAATAACATTTACGTTAACTTTGAATATGAGCTGTTTTTAAGTATAGTTAACATACTAGTTTCCCAGATTAACTTCAATGGAGAGAGCTTTGATGAAATGTCAGCTTCTAGGTTGGCCAGTTGGCTTGCTTGGTGAAAGAACATGGTGCTAGTAACACTAAGGTCACAGGTTTAAATCCCTTTACCAGCCAGCCACCAAAAAAAAAAAAAAAAAAAAAAAAAAAAAAAAAAAACAGAAAAAGAAGAAAAATCAGTTTCTAGGTGCTGTAAATGAGAGCTCTTTTACTGCATGGAGTCAGCCCTGTAGTCATTGCTTCTTTTCTTTTTCACTCCTGTGACTCAGGAAGCAACCAGCTTGGCCCCATATACGGTCACACATCTGTGATGACAGGAAGTTTGCTGGACGATCACCACTGGCACTCTGTGGTCATTGAGCGCCAGGGACGGAGCATTAACCTCACTCTGGACAGGAGCATGCAGCACTTCCGCACCAATGGAGAGTTTGATTACCTGGACTTGGACTATGAGGTACCCGTGATGACAAATAATGTGCGATAAGTGTCCAGCGAGCCTCTGTCCCCTACTGTACTGTTGTATTACTGTTAATCAGATACATACCTGTAACATTTTCATTTTATTCTCCAAAGACAAAAATACTTACAAGTTTAAAACCTAATTTGTAAATATATGTCATTTAATTTATTTCTAAATTTTTAATAATGAGTACTTGAAATAAAATCTTGGTAACAAAGTAATAATTTGAAGACAGAGACCATGCTTATCAGGGCCATTTAATAAATTCAAAATAAATTAAGTTGTAATATTTCCATCGGTGGTTAATTATGGTACCTATCTTTCTTGAGAATGTGCAGTGCATTATAAGTACAGGGTTGTTTAATGTTTATTGTAAAGTATTAAATAAGAAATTCTGATTTCTAAGTTATATGGGGTCACTTATAAATTCATGACTGTAGATAGGTCTTTTGACAAGTTCTCTTTTCTCAGATACAATTATCATAAAAAAATAAAGTAAAATACAGAATAATTTAAAGAAATTGTCCATAAGTAAAATGACATATTTTACTTCCCGATTAATTGGAGATTTTTTTAAAAAATCAATGATCATGTCAATAGAGTAAAAAAAATATGTATTCTCATGACTTACTGTTAGGCATACCAGTTTTTCCAATAAATTATTTGGAAAGAAATTCAACTTTAAAATGTCTGTTACAATTGTAAATCCTATATGGGGATAAGAGTTCTTTAAGATGGTCATCACATTATTATACATAACAGGAGAAAAGGGATAACACTGAATGTACAAAAGCAGCTCAGAGTAAAATAGAAAGGATGAAATATTATTCAGCACAGGCTCCCAAAATTTCTTAGTTCATGGGGAGTCTTAGAAACAGTTCCGCAGCATTCCATTAGGTCCAAACAACTTAAAAATTTATGCCCTAACAATCTGATAGTAACTTGAAGAAAATACACATAAAATAAAAGAAAACATATTTTAATTTCATTCTTAAATACCAGTAATTATTACTAGTAAGATGAGTGTACAATCTGAATCAAATTTGACATGGCCATCCCCACTTTCTGTTCCACTTTTTACTTTCTGTGATACTCTGTTTTTTATCAAAGCAATGATCAAAAGCCCAACTTCCCCAAAGACAAGACATTATCACAAGGAATATAGTGTGATTTAAATACTGGAACAGTAAACTACCTCACGTTAGTGTTTCACACACTGTCCAAAACATGTCAACTATTGCTGTGTTTCCTTTAAAAATTTTAAATATACTGTGGTACCGCTATGTGTTTGCTGTGTGCCACCTTACTGTCCTTGGCACCCAGTTTTGAAATTGCAGACATATACATGTATGTATGAATATATAAAAGTATATGTGTGTGTGTGTGTTATCTTTAGCTATATACAAAGTTTTAAGAATGTGGAATATGCTCATCATAAAATAATAAGTGGAAAAATCAGTATTTATAGCTGTGTTTTCTATGTTCTTTTTACATTTAAATGGTTTTTAAATTTTTGCAATACAAATATATTGCATATATTCCTAAAGAGGAATTTGGAATAGAATACACTATATAAAACTTGATGAAGACTTTATTAACATTAAATAAATTTAAGGTTACTGAGAAATAATACTCTCCCACCTCAAAAAACCCCCCAAAATCTCCTTAAAGCAGAATGATGAAGGGAAAGAATGTGAAAATACCAGAGATTTCTATCTTCTCTAAATTAGAGTAAGTCTTTGCTCATGTGACATCTCTCAGTGTATGAGAGACTTAAAAATGAATTATTCATCTTCCATTAATAAACTTTGAAGTACCATAGAAGAGGTGGGAAATCCTAGAACATTAGAATGGGCAAACATAATTCCAATTTTTAAAAAATGGAATTAAAAATTTGGGGTCATAGACCCGATTGAGTTTGTGATGAAGTCTATAAATATTCATGCACACACGACATGTTCCATACAGGGTCAACAGTTACAAGGACACTTTGAAGCCCATCTATCCACAATGCCATGTTTGGAAATTTCAGCTATAGACTAAAATGCCTGGGACAGATTTGTTAGAGAGAGACACTAGGAGGAAATTTAAATTTACTGAGAAAGATCAGAATAGACTTAACTTATTTCTCTCTGTAGAGTTACTGCCTGATTACTCCCCTCTTAGATACGGCGATTATTGGCATGAGCTGAATAAAAGTAGCTGTGCCTACCTTTATGTTTCTACACTTTTATCTTAATATAAAGGAACTCCCTTTGCTTATTCGTTTAAAGAAAACCGGGGACTGTATTAGAGCATTCCCTCTGTGTTGTACTTTTCTCCTTGATGCATCCAGACAGTGACTAGACTCATGCCTGACAGACTGCATGACAATCAGCTTCAAATTTAAAATAATACAAATTATGTAACATTCCTACTGAAGTATTTAAAGTCTTTAGCCTAAAGAATTGAAACCCTGGTCATCTTATTTTCATAAAACCTGAAGACACTGTGTTATGCTTCCCAAGAGGATGCTGCTTCAGTTTTTTATAGTAGCCGAAGACCCAGGCCACTGAGGTTTGAGGACAGAGGCGTGCTTGTAAATGTCAACTTCCATGGTGACAAATTCCCCACCATCTGACCGCACTGAGCAAGGAGTTGAGAAGTGGTGCCCAATAACACACCCGTATCTAGTATTTCCATCATACAGACACAGTAAATGTAATAATCTCAAGAGCATACATGATACTAAAATGTAGAGATGATTCTGAGAAGTTACTAATTTGTGTTTAAAGTAATTTGTTTAATTTAATCCTTACATGATTTAATTTTTAATAATGGGTCTGTTGAAAAATCAGGTCGCAGCCAGTATGAGCTGGATCCAGCAGAGACTGCTAGGGGTAGATTAAACACACCTCTCACCATTCTCAGAGATGTACCTCATGAAACAAGCAATGGAATATGACTCTGCTCCATTGACATGACTCAATGTGGACATTTTTTGTGAGAGATAGCCTAAGAAAGATGGACATTTTTTGTGGGAGATGGCCTCATTCCCTTCTCTCGCTAGCCACATCCACCACAAGATGGGCCAATCACCATTTGCCGTCAGGCTGCTACATACAAAGTGGCCTGAGACTGACATGGTGATACTTCATTTTTCCTCCTCCGAGCCAATGAAACCAAAGCACAGGACAGCAAATTGATGTTTGGCCTGGATTCTCTCCATCGTGAATTATACATTTTCATATCTCTACAATGACTAGTAGTACATGTCATTATTCGCCATACAGATATTAAATGTAATTTTGTATTATATGAATTTAATGTTACAATACTGTAACTTGACCAAAGATATGTGGGAAAATACATTATTTCTGTAGAAAATAATAGCCAAGGAATGTAGTAAGTAGCATTTTCCTTATTTGTTAGGATTTAGAAGACCTATAATATCTTTAAGCCTGTGCTGCTCCACTAATAGCCTCTACAGTCTATCAATACAGGAATGGTCTCTAATTAATATGGTAATGGTATTTTTTGAACTATTTTCTGTATTCAAAATAAGGGTAATGAACTTTTGACTCTAATGGTCATTAGACTACAAGTCTACAGAGGGAATATACAATATTTCTACTTTGGGCTGCAGTTTTATCAGCTTATTATATTAGTGCTGGTTATCTCATGATTACCAGAGGCCTTTATTGATAGTATGTCTTTGAATGATAAACATGAAAACATATTCTTAATATTACTTGATAGAAGAAATTTGCTGGATAAAATCTATTAAAACCTCAGGAAAATTTATAAAATGCCTTTGGGGTAGCAAAACACAAAGGATTGTTATTTTCTTGTTCAAACTATAAGCTAATTACCAGAATTAATGATTCCATCTTGCACTTCAATAACAACATAATTTAATGTGGGACAGATTTTGGAGGCACAATGCTGTGATGTTTGTACATTTTGATTGATAGTTAATGATACCTGTCCTTGGCTGTATTCATAGCTTTGTCTAGTTTACTGTAATACAGTGTGAATGTTTACATTTTATTTATTTATTTATTTTCAAAGATAACCTTTGGAGGCATACCTTTCTCTGGAAAGCCAAGTTCTAGCAGTAGAAAGAATTTCAAAGGGTGCATGGAAAGCATTAACTACAATGGCATCAACATTACTGACCTTGCCAGGAGGAAGAAATTAGAGCCCTCAAATGTGGTAAGTATTTGCACCCCTAAAATACTGATCCATGAAAAAATCAAAGACCTTTACTTTATGGAATAATGAATGACAAAAACAAAATAATATTTTTCATCATGATTATGTTGGGCTTAAAAATGTAAAACAAACTATAAAGTTACCTGAGATTGTGTAGATCCTTGATATATGCTGAGAATAGATAATAGCTTTGAGTGTAATTAGCCTGAAATAAATGGTAGGTTGTATTCAGATGGGGCACAGAGTATTAGACTCAGCATGTCTGGATTCCCTGTGGTTGGAGAACACGAATGCTTTAACACATGCTTCATCCGAGCAATGCAGCAGCTCTTAAATAGGCAGCATCATGTTTTCAAATGTCTCATTATGCATGCTCTACTTTCTTGTTCATGGCTTAATTTAATATTTTAAAAGTTTTAAACAAGAAACTTTATTATACTCACTCGCCCTTCCCAAGATGATTTGTTCAAATATGTAAATAAATACCTTTCTGTCCAAGCTCTAATCATACTAAATATCATACAATTAAATGAAGGGTGATTAGCATTGGGTACTGGAATCTGTGCCACAGAAGCTCGCAGTGGTTTTCTTCTGGCTTTTGAGTGAGTTGGTTCAGGTTTAACTCAATTTCAGGCAGGAAAATAAAAATCAAAAAATGCCGCAGCAAATTTGCCTCCCCACAACACTGCTTGGGATCCCTAAAAGATATTAACTTAAAATTTTAGTATGGTGGTTTTCTATGGCTCTGCAAGACTAGGAGCTGCTTCCCCCTAGAAATGTTATTTGGGAGTGTCTGAGATTCCAGAGACCCATACATTTAAGAGCCACTAGAAGAAGATATCATGAGTGTTTGCACTCTTCTCTAAAAGAACTCTGATGATCTTTTTGCCCCAAGCTTGGGGCTTTTATAAAATGATTGGACAAATGAAACCCCCCTAGTGAATAAATAAAGTTCGGGTTAAGTAAAGAAACTATAAAACTGTGTATATATATATATGTGTGTGTGTATATATATATACACACACATACATACATATATACACTTTTTTGGTGGGGAGCTGGCCAATATGCAGATCTGAACCCTTGACCTTGGTGTTATCAGCACCACGCTCTAACTAAGTGGGCTAATCAGCCAGCCTTATGAAACAATAATATAATGTAAAAATAATTCTTTAATAAATATTTTAAATAATAATGAACATATATTAATAACTATAAATTAAACTTTGATGAAATGTCTCATAAAGCACATTCACTTTATGAGAAAAATAGTAATAGCTTTATTTATAGGCAACAAGCACTGTGCTAGGCATGTTACATACATTTATAATAATCTGAGACCAATACTGCAAGGAAGATATTATAAACATTTTCTAGATGAAAACACTGAGATTTAACATGTAAAAATAACTTTTCAATGTGACTGTGAGGGGCAGACATAGATTGTGGATCAAAATGTGTGACTCCTGAGGTCATGGTCTTCTTCCATGCTGTGTTATTTCTTCTCTAGAGCTGTCCTAATATATATGCTATTCTAAGCTTTGGATAAAATGACACCAGGGTCCTTTTATTTTCCCAGAAATTATTCTTAAAATAGAAAGGTACAGAATGCAAATTGTCAGAATACCATTTCCATTACTGGAACTTTTAAGAGGTAAAATAGTATTTCTGCCCAAACCTCACCATTGGTCCTGAGGTATATTTATTCGGTACCCAAACTACAAAGAATTTCCCTATGAAGACTCATTTCAAAATCAACTTTAACTGCAAAATGTATTGTGGTTATCAATGCTGTTGCAAACCTGAATAGGAAAAATATTTAATAAATCATAAATACCTATACATATATTTTATTTTAACAAATAATTGCATGGGCAGACATCAAATAAACTTTTGAATCAAAATATACATACATACTGACTCAAGATGGCAACGGGTCTGGAGCGGCCGTGCCAGGAGACAGCGCGACCCTGAGAAGTGTACGCTTTGATACCAGAGTGCTATCTGCATTTCCAAGAGCAACAAAAAATGAATAAATCCTTGAACAACTAACCTACAACAATGAAAAAGCAACTACAGATTCGAAGTTTTTGGGCCGTCACAAAAGAAGATTCCTGAGAGTGCCCAAGCCACGCTGCGTGGTCGAGCGAGCAGCCCGAGACAACAAAGGCCAAGTAAGTCAGCACAGACGACACAGAAATGGAGTGGATGGCACCAGACTGGCCCAACTCTGTGAGCTCTGTGAGTCAACCCCAGTCCAGCCCAGCTTGCGGGGCAAAGCCCATCTGGCTTCTGACCTCCTGGCTCCCACCCGCCTGGCTCCCGCCTACCACACAAGGCTAGGCCACGGCAACAGCACTGCCTCCATTTTCTCAGGTGGGGGTGGAGACAGCACCTTGGCTTGGCGCGGCTCCTCACTGAGACGGGCCACTTGCGTACCTCGACGCAGGGCCCCCCGGGGCCTGTGGACCGGCCTACAATCCCACTCTCCCTGCAGATCTCTGACGGGGCTGGTGGCAGGGGGAGCCCCTGGCCAGCGTCGGGAGGGCTGTGAAGTGGAGCCCGCCCAGACTGTCACTCCACCACACCCTGGGCTTCGGCCCCAGGTAAACTCCCTGTTTCCGGGAGGCAGATACCATCTCTGTGGCCCTCAGTTCGGAAGAACCCCAAACTGATGTCTGCTTGGGAGAGGGGAGCCCGGAGCACTCTGGAGCTAGATTGAAGTTGCCGGAGAGCACTCCAGGAGGGCTCCTGGGTCGACCCATGCTGGGGGGATTCAAAGAGGAACTGTGTGCTGTGGGTCCCTCCCCTGAGGAGCTCACACCCTGGAGTTGAAGATAACTTTACTACACAGATAGCCGCAGCACCAGGAGGAAAGTGAGAGATCCAGAGGAGGCCTTATCCAGAGCCACAAAAGCACTCAAAGTGTCCGCACAAGACAATTGAAACTCCTCCTGGGCAGGGAGGGGCAGGGCACAGCTTTGATGTCCCAGCTGATAGACGAGGATTGTAGAAGACACGCCTCA